AAGAGAGCTTCAGGGCACTATGCTCCAGAACAGCTGCCCAGGGAATTTGTTCCCTGGGATTTGGATCAGAGGGTTTAGCCATCCAAGCATGTGGAGACCTGTACAGCCATGGTGCAAAAGGGCCTGGCTACACTCAAGCTGGTGGCAGACCCTGGCACATCTATATGGTGTTGGTTTTTCACTCATGCAGAATGCAAGAGTTGTGGAGTCAGGGAGGCTTTCACCTAGATTTCAGAAGGCATGGGATGCCAGGCAGTGTGCCCATGAGAGGTCAGAGTGTCAAGCTGTGAGCATGAAGCCAGCAGTGCAGTGGAAACCCCAGGAAGCTGAAGAAGCTAGGAACATGGGACATCCAAGGAAAGCCACAGGAGTGAGCAAAGCCAGTCCCAGAAAGAGGACCTGAGAGATACAACCACTGGTGATGCCACCAGTGGGCTGCCCAAGTCATCTGGAGTTCACATCTTATTGCCACAACTTGCTCAGATGCTGGACACAAGCTACCAGATTTGATATTTGCCCTGCTGTGTTTCAGTCTTCTTTTGTTCCAATTGGTTTCTATCCCCCATTCCTCCCTTTTGCAATGCGAATGTTTACCCTGTGCCTCTGTATGTTGGAAGCGTTAACTTTCTTTTCATTTTTATAGGGGCTCATGGCTAAGAGTTTGCTTTGAGTCTCAGAGACTTGGGACTTGGATTTTTCAGCAATGCTGGAATGGCCAGGACTTTGGCAGCTTGTAGAGATGAGCTAAATGCAGAGATGTGCATAAGTCTTTTATGGGCCAGGGGAAACTATGGTTCATATCTAGACGTCCCTCATGGGATCATAGGCAGCACCTTTGTGGGGTGACTGGGTCATAGGGGAATTATACCTGACCTACTGTTAGGTGGTGGGTTCAGTCAGAAGAGGTAGGTCATAGTGGACATGACCTAGAAGGTTGTATCTCCCTCCCCTGACTCTGTGCTTCCTGTCCACCATGCCCTGAGCAGCTCTTTTCTGCCAGGGCCCTCTGCCATGCTGTCCTGCCTCGGAGCCAGCCCACTGCGGACTGAAACATGACCCAAAATAAACTTCTCCTTCCTTAACTTGTGGGTATCAGAGGAAAGTGACTAAGACTTTATTCTAAGACTGTATTCTCCAGGTGCTGATATGAGGCTCTGATTTATGATGATTTTGATTTTCTCTTTTATTTTTATTTTAATGAGCCAGTGTTTTTTGTAATCAAAAAACAAAGTGGTACTGTATTTGTGAAACAATACAGAAGCCCCACATTTTCAATAGCAAATGTAAAATATACACTTGGGTCCAAATGATATCTTTTTGACTATATAGTAGAAGATACTTTGTTTTATTCACCAGATTAAAAACATGCCAGCCTTATATTGAAGTTACCTGGCTTTAGAAAGTGTTTCCATGCAAAGGTTAACAGTGAAACCCCTCTGTTGGGCAGTATGTGACATAAAAGGATTCGTACCACTGCATGTCACGTCCCACCCAGAAGATGATCGCCAACAGCTCCATATAAACTAGACACAGACAGGATGTTTAGAGTTGGAGGAGCTTTACAGTGTCACCCCTCACTGCAGTGTGATCCCCACACCAGAGTGACACCACCAGTGTGGCCAAGACAAAAGTGCAGTCCAGGGCTCCTGGAGAAGCCCAGCTTTTCCCTCTTTTTGAACTCAGCAACCAGTGAAGTTCAAGCTGATATTATGGTCTCACCATCAGAAATATTGCTCGCTTGCTATAACTGCGTCCTGTATGTCTACACTCAATAAAAATTCCAAGACTAACATTAGTGCCGGAATTGCCTGGACCATGCTTTGAGCTGTGATCCACATGGGAGAGAGAAAGTTCCTGCTAAGCCCAACTTGGCCCCACAAGGCCCTGAGACAGAAGATGCTCTTGAAGGTTGAGACACTGGTCACAGCGCCGTCCTGCACAGCCCTGCTCCTCTGGCACCCTGGGCCAGCTGCTCTGTGACCGTGCCACGCATGGAGACACGGTGAGCAGGCACATGCAGTCACCTAACAGCAGACTCCCTTCTTCCTGTGCTCTCTTCTTCCTGTACTGTCACCCTGCCTGGGGGTGTCCTCTGCCCAGGAGATCTCTGTCTCCCTTGCAGGTTTTCTCCTCTGGGGACTTCCAGGGTACCCGATCTCAGGGATCACCTGCCCCGCTGTGTCCTGCAGGCAGCAGGATGTGGGCATCACAATTTTCCTCTTTTGTTTTCTGGCCCGGGAATCAGGCCCACTTTTCCTACTAACCGGTCGCGATGGCATGAATGCCACGTGTGAAGGTGGAAGGTCGTGGAAAAGAGAAGCCTTGCAGCAGACTTGGCCTAAACTGAGCGCTGCAGCCCACTGTCAGCAGAGGGTCTGAAAGGGAGTTCGCTCCACCACTGCCATGCACACTGGACAAAAAGTTGGGGGACATGTGGCTGCAGGGGTAGCTGCCCCGTCAGTTTCCAGACGACGCCAATCTAACAGCAAAGGATGACTCAATGTGCCAACTTCCTGGGCATGGCAGGACGGGGTGTCCTACCCAGCCCATCTTCCCCTTTGGTCAGGGTCTCAGCCAGCATGGCAAGGCACAGGGGAGCCAGATACCTGAGAGGCCCCAGGGCGTGGGTGCAAGACAGTGCATTCTCAAATGTCTTTCTGTTTCACCCTGTGCTGAATTGCACAGAGGCCCAGAGATTCTGGTAGCTTTCATATGAGCCACTGGATCATGGCCCACAGAAAGAAATCCTGACTATGGAGGTCAAGAAGTAGAAAAAGACACCTCGGGATCCACCATGGAGGGACAGGAGGGTGGGGAGTTATTTTACCAATGATCAGGAATAGAGTAACACAGCTTTTATTCTGGGGATTATGCCCTTCCTCAGCTTGGGTTAAAAAATGGAGTTATCAAAAATCCTAATGCTAATAAAGGAAATACATAAAGATTTCTTTAACAATCACTTGTTTCAGACCAAAGGAGAAACAGGAAGCAAAATAGCAGCCACTGTCTGCAGTGACACAGAATAGAGAACGTTCAGGAGAAACTGAAAGGTTCACTGGTCACGCTGGGCGCTGCAAGGACTTTCTCAGCAGAAAGGCGGTGACTTCCGCGGCCAGGCCTGGAAAAGGCCAGTACATTTGCAGAGGCCGCAGGTACTCCATAGCAGCACCCTGGGCACCATCAGACAGGTGCAGGAGGACACAACAGGGCCCTCCTGAAGGCCTGAGAAGACAGGAGTTGGCATTTGGCACAATGTTCTGGGAAGACTCCCACTGTCAATTTATATCCTAACAAAGGCATTAAGAGGCATGGGTTACTTGGGTCATTCCTTCTACTCTGTGGCTTGATGATCTAGAAATGGGATATAAAACTCATTGGAGAGCGCCCCACTGCTACATCATCTACTTACACAGGAAAAGAGGGTAAACAGCCCCTTCTAAGCCATGGGGCTCAGGATATGCAATTAGAGGAGATGTGGGCGTTCTAACAGGCCTGCTTCATGGCACCCTGTCATCTTGCTTAGGAGTTGCCCACATGCAAAGAGGCTAAGGACATGGGACAATTAAATGCCATGCAGGGTCTTGGATCCCAAACATGAGCAGGACAACTGGCAAAATCCAAACAAGGTCTGCAGAGTACTTAACAGAATAGCATCGTGGTAAATTTTGGTTTCAATCATTGCGCCATGGTTATATAAGATGTTTGCCTTGGGGAAGTTGTGTGGAGGGTATAAGGGATCTCAATCTATTGTTTTAGCAATTTTTAAAATAATATCTAATTATTTCAAAATCAAAAATTTTAAATATCTCTTCTCTCCGATTCCCTATTTTTCTAACATATATATATATAAACTCAGCTAAACTAAAAATAACAATTTTCAATTCCTATTATGACACTAGACATTCACAGCTGGTACCTTTCAAAATGGAAGGCTTTATATTTTATAAAAGCAAAACTAGAGACAACTGAGATGTCCAGTGATGAGGAATATGTTTATAAAGTATACTGGAGCTGCTATCTAAGCCCAACAAATATATAGGCCTTGAGCAACACTGAATTCTGTCTACCTCCAAGCACAGCAACGGACACACAGCCAAATCTCTAGTTTGATACCAAAATGAGCCCATGTGATGAATGATTATAAAAAGTTTAAAACTAAGCCAGATGTGGTGGTGCACACCTATAATCCCGGCACTTTGGGAGGCTGAAACAGGAAGATCAAAGTTCAAGCCCAACCTGGGCAACTAACTATGTGAGCTGCTGTCTCAAAATAAAAAATTTAGACAGGGCTGAGGATACAGCTTAATGTAAAGACCCCGAGTTCACTCCTTGTTACCGAAACACAGAAACAAACAAACAAAAAAAGTTGTTTAGGAATTTTTGTGATCACATAAAACGCTAAGTGAGAAAATGTTAAGTGAGATAGAAAGTAAGACAACAGAAAGTGAGACAGAAAGTAAAATTACACCAGAAAGTAAGATAATACCAGAAAGTAAGATTACACTAGAAAGCACGCCACACTACCCCGATGATGGAATACGTAAAACCCGTCCTTCTCGCGCCTGCCCCCGGGAACCAGAGGCCGTGGGGCACTCGGCCAGACCCGTGGGCAGGAAAATACAGGAGAAAATGTAAGCATCAGGAAGAAACGCCTCAGAACGCTCCTGGGGGTGGTGAACGCGTAGAACATTGACATTTTCTTCTTTAACCCCGTCTCTCTTCCCGGTTTCCCACACAGAAGGCTCACGCGTCCGTCTGGGGCTCGCACCGGCCCCCGCCCGCCTCAGCTCCGACCCCGCTTCCTGGCCCGGCCCGGCCCGCCCCTCCCACCGCGACTCTCAGCGCGAGCGGCGGCCCCGCAGACCGCAGACGGGCGACGCCGGCGGCCCCGTGAGGACCCCAGCCCCACCCAAGGCCCGGGCCGCGGGCCGCGGAGACACGAACCACGCAGCCGCACAGCGCCGCGTCGGGACCCGGGCCTGCCCCTCCTCGCCACTCACCGCCGCCGCGAGCCGCTGTCTTCAGCCGGCGTGGAGCCGCGAGACCCGGCCGCGAGGGGACGCTCCCGCAGGGGGGCGGGGCTAAGGCGCCGGAACTCTCGGGGGGCGGGGACGTGGGCGGGGCCTCCAGCCCTCTTGTCCAGTGGGCGGGCCCTGCCGTGCCCGGTGGGCGGGGACTTCGCGTCTCTCGGGGCGGGGCCTGTGGGGGCGGGGCTTGCTGTGGTCACTTGGACAGTGGAGGATCCAGACTGACGGTCGGCGGAGGAGGAGCGGCGCGGCGCGGGGCGCGAGAGGGACCAGACCTGCTCACAGCGCCCCCTTTCCATCTCCCAAGGACCAGGTCCGGTCTTCTGCAGGTGACTCGCTTGCCAGCTGGGGGGACGCGGGTCCCGTTGTGGTTAAACCTGCCGTCCGCCTGGACCCTGCCTCCTCTGTGCCCCCCCCCACCCGGGCCAGCCCTGTGGCCCTCTCTTGTGCCCTGGCCACCCGTGCGGCTGCCAGTCCACCGCAGCCTGGGACCCTGTCAGTGCCATCTGTCTCTCCAGCGCGCCGGTTCCCGCCCGGGGCATCATTTTCCCCGCGAGTACAGGTCCAATGCCCCACAGCCTCTGTTCTCCAGGCGGCAGGGGAGAGAAGCACCGGGTGGGCCACTTCTGGCCCTCACGGCACAGCCCCCGGTACGCATAGCTCAAGGCGGGGACAGGGGCAGGAGCCTAGTCACCGTCGCCAGGCTCAGGGACAGGTCCCCTCCTCCTCGGCGGCCTCTCACCACCCTATGGACCACGTCAGTGTGGCTGGCTGTCGCTCAGCAGGTCCTGCGCGCAGAAGTCCTCTTCTGAAAACCAGGACAAAATGTTCATGATCCTCACTGCCCAGGGACAGCAGTGAGTCCTGGACTTGTTAGTGGCCCTCTGTACGGCCCCGCCCACTGAGCTGGGGCGGTCCTATGCGTAACTTCGTCTTTAAGAAATGAATGGAAATATGGAAAGTCCCTCTCCTATTTAATCTCCACAGTAAACTGCTGGACATCACAGGTGGCAGACTGGGTGAATGACATTAACCCTGTGTCACCAGTTGGCTGCGGATTCTTTTGCTCATTTTGGGTAGAAATGATGAATAGCTGAAGGATAGCTCTTCCTAGTGTTAGCAGCCGGGAGCTCGGAGGCTCTCCGGCTGCCACCTGGCTCAGTGTCACCAGCCCAGCCGTCTTTGGCGTTACCAGATCTTCGTGCTTCCAGCTCAGCCTGCTTTGCTCTGCTCCAGCCAAAATTAATGAATAGGCAAAATGTACCACACCAAAGAGGCTCTATCAGGACTCGAGCTGCCGCGGAGGGGTTTGGTACTGGGAGCTCGCTTACTTCACACAAGAGGCAGGCTCACGCATGTGCAGTGTCAGACTACCGCTTCATCCTGGGGAGGGAGGGGCTCCTGCGGCCCTGCTTGAGGACAGCTACAGAGAGGAGCGGCGCGATGTAGTGGTGGGCTGCTGGAAGGCACTGGGGACAGCCATGGGGGACAAAAGAATAAATAAAATCTACCGTTTAGGGACAGTGGCAGTGACTGTCCTGTCCCAAATACACGAGTTACCTTTGCTATGTATCCAACCACCGCCAGGGTTAGGAATTACTTTCTCCACCCCTCTTCTCTGGGGTTTTGCCTGCAAACCGGCTCAAAAAGCCCCTTTCTGGTTCCTGCGTCTGGAAGAACAGACTGCCTCCCGGGGCCTTGGGGTCTATGACTCCGGACATGCAGTGCTGCTTGTGATGGACTGGCCTTGACAGGGAGAGAGAGGGGAAACGGCCAATGTTTCCATCGCTTTCTCCAGCTCCCTGTTCTGGGCCTGCGGCTCTGAGGTCTGTTGCTCGCAGACTGTTTTCTGATGGTGTCTGTTTGACAGTGCCAGCTTCAGTTTGGCCTCAGAGCAAAGCTAGGACATAGTGGAGGGAAACCCCCACAAGACTCTCACCACCCCTACACTGGTCTTTCTCCACATCTCGAGTTCCCTGTCCAGTCCACTGGCTTTCATGGCCCCTCTCCACAGTCTGTGTCACCGGACTGGGGTCTTGTCCAAGTTCCTGATGTACTAAGCAAGCAACTGAGCAGGACCCCCAGGAGTAGCATCAGGACGAATGGCTTACTTGAAAGAAAAAAGACAAGATCCACTCGACAGGGTGGGAGCCGGCCAGGGAGAAGTGCTTATGCGCAAGGGGCTTGGTTCTGGAGGTCTGAGGGGAGATCAAGGTTTGGTTTGAGGTTTGGCTCCTGACAATGTGTGGCTTGACTCAGCTCCTCCATAAGGCGGTGTAGCCTTTGACCATTTGTGGCCTTTGGAGGAGCAGTGATGAGGTCCACAGCCCATAGGAAGTTAAATCTGCACAGTCAATGACCTGGCGTGTGGGGCTAGGGGCAGCCAAGAATTGCAGGCACAGGCCTGGGACTTATTGTGTAAGCAAAGACCCCTGCTCACCTTTCCCATTGTGTTTAGAGCCTGGTGTCCTGGTCCTGGGCTAATGTTTAACTCAGAAGGTGGAGCCAGACCAGAAAGCCTCCAAGAAGTTCCTCTCTTCTTTCTCAGCTGCTTCCTTGGTTATCTGAAGCCTCAGATGCAACCCAGAGAGGCAGGCAGACCCTCCCTTCCACCTCAGCCACCTCCTGCCTCACCTGAGTGGTTGCTTTCATGTTCTGTCCAAAACTTGTAGTGGTAATCAGTGGGATACAAGCTCCATTTGGCCTATTGATTTGAAATGTCACCGTTATCATGCAGTAAATTTCTTTCTCTATTTATGAACTTTCTCTTCTGTGCCATTAATCTTGTAGTTGATTTGGGTACCGGAAACATGAGATTTAATTTTCTCTTTTTAAGAATTTTAGTGGAACCGTTATATTGGTGCGTAGTTATTGGTCACAGTAAAGTAACATACATATACAATATGTAATGTTCAAATCAGGATAGTCAGAATGCCCACCTCCTCAAATAATTACCACTTCTATGTATTGGGAAATCTTGAACTCTTATCTGCTAACTATTTTGAAATAGCTCATGAACTATAGTTACCGGCTGTGCTACAGAACATGAGGACTAGTTCTGCACATCTAACTGTGCTTCAGTCCCTGTGATCAGACCTCACTCTGTCTCCCTCAGCTCCCTTTCTTGTCTCTTAGTGCAAAGGCCCTGAGTTCAATCCCCATGAAAAAAATCCCCATGTTCACAAGGACATGAAATAATTCCATGTAAGAGACAGCTGTACTCCCGTGTTTATGCGGTGCTAGTCACAATAGCCAAAATGTGGGCTCAACCAAGGTATCCATGAAGAGGTGAAAGGATGGAGAACATGGTGTATATTTTCTGAGGCATATTACTGAGCCATAAAAAATAATGAAATGCTGTCATCTGCATCAACATGGACAGACTGGAGGACATCCGATGAAGTGAAATAAGCCAAGAACAGAAAGGCAAATATTTATTTCCTCATTGATTTTTGAGAGTATGAGATGTTGTTCTCCTAAGAGATTTTACTTTTTAAAGCTTTATACAGATATTGTTCGTTTCACAACATACCTATATAATGACTGTTCAGACTTATGACCCATTGTTTTGTACAGCTCTGTATGTCTTGTGTATGGAGTCTCAGTGCTTTTTCTGCACAGTACACCTTGCTTATACAGTACTGTCATTTTTTCTGATTGTGCTGCATAGCACAGTGCTGTAGTTTTATGTTCTGTTGTACATCACAGTCCTGCCTGCAAGAGTTACACAGATAAAAGCAAAGTCGTCCAGTTGGAGTTTCCTTTGACCATTTCTTTGTTCTAAATACTGTAATGTACATACTGTGTGCAATTCCTCATTTAGCAACCAGTTCAGCTAACAGTCTAGTCGTGGGACCATAACTCAGTCGTTAGGCGAGGAGGTCTGTAATGCATCATGCTCTTTTGTTAAGCTCTCGGGTACCATCAGAAAAGCCCAACCCACCCCAAGAATTGTGTCTCCCTCATTTTCATCCTAAGCACCTCTCAGAGCAGCCCCTGATTCCCCTTCAGTAAACTCTTTATTCCAGGTGACCACAGTGGTCATTCAGGGAACTTTTCTCACTATATGTCCAGACTCACAGTATGCTATTTCCCTCTGTTGGCAGGGCCACCATTGTCCCCAATCATTGCCAGGTCCTGTCTGATCCCCAGCTCCCAGCTTGAGGATCTGATTCCTGCAAACACTTCCAATGCTAAATACATTGGTCAGACTTCAGGGCAGAAAAAAAAAAATAACTATGTGCACATTACACAGGAAGAGAGCCCATAAAGAGAACGAAGTCCTTGCTAAATCCCGGAAGAATGGCTGGAGAAGCAGCTCAAGGTGGACGCCTGGAGCGGGTGGCACTGCTGGGCTGGTCTACCCTGAGCTGCTGCTGCTGTGGCCAATGGAGCTGTGCAGGTCTGTAGCTGCAGCCTCTGGACTGGATTTGGAAAATGGACACCTTAGTCTGTGATCCACGGATTTCAGAATTGGTTAAAGAACTCCCTATGGAAGTTCTCCAGGAATTGTCCAGGAAGTTCCCTGGGAAATCACAATTGGAAAGAAACCATCACCTTCCACTTCTGGAAGAGGCCAAGTCCACAGGAGGGTGGTTTCCTGACCTCTACCTGCCTGATCTCAGCTGAGTGTGTCTACCTGGAGACCCTCATGTTGCACGTAGATGTCCAAACCCTATACCCAGCACACCCCTGCTTTTTCCTTACACCATTTATTCCTATGGAATTGATCTTTATTGTTGCTGGTGTAAATGAGACTATTCCCCCCTTTATATTTTTAATTGGGTTGATAGAAATATTCATATGTGCATATTCATACGTACTCAGTGTAAAATCTCTTCCAGTTTACAGCAGTTCAGTCCCTCAGGATCTCCAGTTGCACAGTCACATAATCCCTTCCTTCTCGTCTTGTTTCTGACATGAAGGAAACGCTTCTGGCACTTACTCAACAAGTAGGAGCTTGATCAAGTGTAAGACAAATACATTTTATTATTGAGTGAGACTTTCTCCATTCTACTGTCACTCTGAGACAGCTTTTTTTAACTTACTGAGGAT